TTGGCTGGCCTAGGACACATACTATTCAATTTATCTACTCCTCTTTCTCATGCACTTAATAATTAGTATAATGAATGGCATGCCTATAGATTAAGCGAGTCAGAAAACTCAAGGAAGGATCTGTATGAAAACTGCCTTCTGCATGTAAACAGCTGGATGTCGCAGAGACCCATAAGCTTAATGCTTGTAAGTTTATTTCGACTCCTTAATAATCTCTTCCTTCAATTATTTTCTTTATTTTTTAAAACAATAGTGAGGAAGCCGGGCGTGGTGGCGCACGCCTGTAATCCCAGCACTTGGGAGGCTGAGGCAGGAGGATCACTGTGAGTTCAAGACCAGCCTGGGCTACACAGTGAATTCCAGGTCAGTCTCATCAGTCTCAACTAGACAGTGAGACCCTGTCTCAAAAAACCAAAAAAAAAAAAAAAACAAAAAACAGTTTTAGATTTATGGGATTTAGCTCAGTGGCACAGTGCCTGCCTCATAAGCACAAGGTTGTGACTGATTCCCGGTATCTAAAAAAACAAAAGTAGAATTATTAAAGGTATGAAAAGAAACAGGCTCTGTACAGCCCATTTGGACCAAGTAAAAGTAGGTAAAGAAGTACACCTTACAATGGGAGGGTGGACCACTGTGAAAGAACACAGTAGTCCCTCTTCAATTATTTTTTTAATAAATGCAGATCAGTTAGGCCTCATTTTTTTTTTCAGTGTGTTGGAACATTGAGTCCCTGCCAGTCGCTTTCTCTAGTATATCTTCCCTTTTGGTCCTGCCTTAATTAATTTTGTTTTAAAATTTTTATTATATATTTTTTTGGGCGGGGGGAGTGTTTGAGACAGGGTCTCACTATATAGTTCAGTCTGTCCTTAAACTCATTATGTAGCCCAGACTGGTTTTGAACTCAGAGCAGTCCTCTGTGCCTCAGCCTCCTAGAGTGCTAGGATTATAGGTGTGTACCGCCACCATGTCCAGTTTGTTAATCTTCCCAAAGATAGTATTAGATCATTCTGTTTTAAAACCACTGTCAGATGATGGGCCAGGGATTTAGCTCAGTGGTTCTGTCACCTGCCTTGTAAGCACAAGGACCTGAGTTCGATCCGTGGCACAAAAAACAAAACAAAACAGAACAAAACAAAAAACTGATCTGATCCTGTGTGTTTAAAAATAAAAACCTCTATCAGATATATTTTTTTCCCCTCTTTGGTGTCGGAGACCCAACCTAGGACCTTGTACATGCTCTACAAGTGTCCTACCACTGGATTATATTCCAGCCCTGCTCCTTTTTTTAAAAAATGTTTCAAGGTGTGAAAAACTAAAAGTGTAAATAAAATTCAAATGGAGTAATTGACAGTGTGAAATAGGAAGAAAAGTGCTAAAGGTGTAGGGGAAGTGGGAAGGGTAGGGGAGGGGAGATACGGGAAAAGAAAAAATATGAGAAAATGAAAAAAATTTTTGTAAATAGGAAAGGGAGGTGAAGGGAGGGCAGGGGGATGGGGAAAAAATGAGAACCAAGACCTGTCATGTAAAGGTACAGATCCATCCTGTACTGTACACCTAAAATGTACCAATAAACTCAATGAGAAAAAAAAAGTTTCAAACTTGTGAAAATAGCCCATAAGATCCCTTGATCGTTTGTCCATGCTCTTCCGTCTACTCTGTGCTCTAGCTTTATTCCTTTATGATTTAACCTAGATTGTTGGAAACCTTTCTTATTGCCTCTAAGCTCTGTTGGGCACCAGGCTTATGTGCCCTCCATGTTCTGTGCACATCTTAATCACTGTCCTATAAAACCACTAAGTGTTACAATTTTGCTTTTGTTTCTTTTTTCTCACTAGATTTTCTCTTGAGTGTGCATTGTTGTGTACCTATCTTTGTATCACTAGCACTTGGCATATTTTAGATCTCAATAAATTGTTGGAATTAATGCCATCCATCACCATGGTCTGTACTTTACCTTGCGTTCTTCATAGAGTACTCCTCTTCTGTCTTTGTTCCTAAAAAACTTGTATTCCTTATTTGAAGCCTGGTTTTAAAATCATCTCCATCTTACCCTTCCTAAAGTGTTAATTACGACTTCTTTTGACATGTGCATGCAGGTCTAACAGTAAGGATAGGTTTTGAACACATTTACAGGATCTACAGAAACACCATTGAAGAAAGGTGCATAGATGCCTGAATTTTCAGTTAATTGGTAAATATGTTTTGATTGTCAGAACTAAAAAAAAAAGTTTCAATGCAAATGAAATCTTTACCTTGCATTGTATTTAAATTACCAAATCCTTTTGTAGATGCACCTTTTTTTTTTTTTTTTTTGGTACTGGGGGATCGAACTTGGGACCTTATGCTTGCAAGGCAGGCGGCGGAACCACTGAGCTAAATCCCCGGCCCCAATGCACCATGTTTATTAAAGCATGAACTTCAGCTAAGGTCTGCTCTCTTATACTCGGTTGGGGAGCTGATAAGAAGCATAACCTTTGATCTATCTTCTCTTTTTAATGTTGGTTTTAGGAGAAGAATCTCAGGTTTGAGAGATCTTCTAGTGGAGTAAAGAACATGGTGTTAATTGTTTCTCAGAGTCTCTTAGACAAATTACCATGGGTCCTGAAAGGCTAATGTTGATGAAAACTCTTCAGCTTTAGAATAGATCATTTTAAGGGCCTGGGATGTAGCTTAATGGTAAGGCACTTGTTTAGCATGGGTGAGTACAGAGAAAAACAAAGTAAAATACAGATGCAATTTAAAGCTCAAACAAGGCAGTGTCCTCACTGATTGTTTTGTATGTATTTATTTTTGAGATGGAGTCTCACTGCCTTGCCCAGGTTTGCCTTGGGTTCTTGGGCTCAGTAACCCTACCTCAGCCTTCCAAGTGAGTAGCTGGGATGGCAGACCTATCATCATATTGCAGCTAGCTAATTGTCTTACATGTTTTGTATTTATTTTTTAGTATTAACAGATAAAGTTACAAAATAGTAAAGAACTTCAGTTCCTGCTCTCCTATTAGCCCATTAGTGATGGCTCTATGAATGTAGAATGGGCAGACTTGTTTCTTTCTTTTTTTTTTTTTTGTGATGTTGGGAATTAGACCTAGGGCCTTGTGCATGCTAGGCAATATGCATCCAAACTACACGGGATGTGTGAAAATACTTGGTAGCTATTTATTAATTAGTTCAGTGAACTATATTAAATACACAATCTGTTCCCAGCACTATTCATGGGGATTAAAGTTTTGAGGAGTAATTGGAAAACAGTGTGCTGTATTAGCTAATATGGCTCTGAAGAAAAATAAGATAAGGAGATGAGAGTTCTGGGAGGTTTATTTTAAATAGTGTAGATAAGGAGGTCTAGCAGGAGGGAGAACTTGAATCAGTGAAGGAGAAACCTTGAGAAGGGTGTCTGAGGGAGACGTTCCCGGCAGGGAGAATACTGTGGCAGAGGACTTTAAGTGGGAACAGCTGGGCTTGTAGAATTGGCAGAAAGGGGGTGGAGTATAGTAACTGAGTGGTAGAGCACTTGCCTAATGGGTGGAAGGCCTGGGATTTGATCCCAGTGCTGGAAAATAAACAGAAGGTCCAAGTAACTCGAATAGAGTGAATGAATGGAGAGTCATAGTAGGTGATGAGGATGAGAGTAGGGAGGAAGGCAGATAATGTGGCAGTTATCAGACCATAGTGAGGCATTAAAACAAAATCTGTGGTTAGGGATTGAGGTTAGTGGTCGAGTGTGTGCTTAGCATGCATGAGGCCCTGGGTTCTATTCCCAGCATCAAAAGAAAAAGAAATCCAGTGTTTGAAGGGTTTTGAGTAGGGAAGTGACTTAATCTGACTCAGCTTTTGAAAGATATGACTCACTGGGTAAGGTGGCAAACCTCTGTGATCCCAGCATTTGGGAGGCTGAGTCAGGAGGATTTCAAATTCAAAGCCAGCAACATAGCAAAATCTTGTCTCAAAAAAGAAAAATAAAAAGCCAACCAACCAACCACAACAACAAGAAAAAACAGAAGAACAAGGAAAGGAAGACCATTTAGGCAGTTAGGATGTTAACACAAGTGAGATGATAGAGGTTTATTTAGGTAGCAGTGAAAGTGGATGATGTGAGAAGAGATACTTCGATACATTTTGAAGGTAGAGTCAAAAATTTCAATTATTAACAATAATCAGCCTCCCTCCCCCGTGCTGGGGATCAAACTTGCAACCTTATGCTTGCCAGGCAGGCGTGGCGCCACTGAGCTACATCCTTGGCCCAATTATTAATAATAAAACATTGGCACCTTGGTGTGTATTATCCCTCATTTTTTGTGGTATAACCTTGTTCTGTAGTATTTATCTGCATTTTTTAGATGAAGAAACCGATTCAGAGATTGGAAGATATATTCAAGAACACAATGATATGGTAGAGCAGGACTTGAAACTCAAACATCAGTGTTCTGATGCTTTCCACTGTACTACAGTTCTTTTCCTATAGGTAGAAAAAATCAGGCTAAAAATAGTACTATAGACTATGATATATGAGGTAAAGAATTTGTTAGGAGGAATCACAGTTCTCCTCTGGCACACTTCTAAAACAAGCACATTAACTCTTAATGGCAGTGTGATTTTGCAAACTCAGTACCTTGTAATCAACATGACAATTTTCTGAGTTGATGCACTGAGCCAAAGCAAGATAACCTTGTTTTAGTCTGTATAGCTTTCTTTGTGTGATGAAGCTGTAACTGTTAGTTTCACATACTGAAATATTTGAAGTAATTTATGCATAATATCAAGAATCTAGGGGATCCCTCACTACCAATTAAAAAGAGTTGTAGGAGTTTACATCTTAAATATACATTGCTTTTTTTCTTTTGGTACCAGGGATTGAACTTGGGACCTAGCACTTGCAAAGTAGGTGGAGAAACTACTGAGCTAAATCCCTGGCTCCTACCTTGCTTCTTTGTGTTGGGAACGTTCAGAATTTTTCCTTCTAGCTATTGTTTATTGCTTGTTATATCTTTTCTCCTAGACAACTCAGTGGTGGGTAAAGAGATGTCTCCAAGAAAGCGGCTGTCGAAGTCCAGTGAAAATCTTGAGAAAGATGAAGACCAGAGAACCTCTCCAGAGGAGTACCTGGAGACATTTCGAAATGGTGAGGCTCTTAATTTTTTTTGAGATTAATTACTGAGCAATTTTAGTGTTTCAGACCAGAGATTGCCATGTCTTAGATCTGTTTATTATTATATGAGTATTCATAGTTTTGTAGTGGTAGTTTTATATCTGGTACAAAAGAAATTAGAAAATAAATCCTTTCTTGATAAATACTTCAGTTGAATATCTAGTATGTTTTAAACATTTTTTTTCACCTGCCTAACCTACCAGTAATTACTGAGATATGTACTATTATATACTGGAGCTATACTAGTGATCAATACTGATGTATTTCATTTTATGCAGCTCCATGTTAGGTAAATGACAAAACAAACTCCTAAAATCATATACATAATTTATTCTAAATACAACAATAATAAAGATACTAATTAATTCTCATTAGATATAATGAATAAAAATAGAGTAATTAACAAGTTACCTAACAGTTATTACTGAGGTATAAATTTAGGGGGGAGAGAGAGATTAGGGAATTTTATTAATTTTCATATGCAGGTTTGCTTAGTATATAAATACAAAGAGGGGATGACACAGTGCTTGTTGATAAGGTCAAGGCTTTTGATTAACAGTGATAGACTTGTTTCTTTTTTTTTTTTGGTACTGGGGATTGAACTCAGGTCCTTGCGCTTGTGAGGCAAGCAGTGGAACCATTGAGCTAAATCCCCGGCCCAAGTGTGATAAACTTGTAAATATAACTCTGATGTTGTGTATTATCAGGATATTTATTTTTGCCATGACGTTTGTGTAAGTTTTATTTTAACAGGGATTTGACCCTTGTTTGCTTAACAAATAAGGATGGAACTTTCTGAGACAGGTGTCTTTGGCATCCTGAAACTTCTTTTTTATTTTTTTTGGTACCGGGGATTGAATTCGGATCCTAGCGCTTGCAAGGCAGGCCACCGAACGGCTGTGCTAAATCCCCCTGAAACTTCTTTTGCTTTTTTTCCTATTTAAATTTAATTGTAATAATCAGCAGCCTGATCCCACCAAAAATGTAAATATTGCTGTTTAAATTGGCAGAATGAAACTTATAGACTAGACTCTTAATAGCTGCTTATGATATTTATATCACAAAAGATAAATTCTGATGTGATACAAAAAGTGGAATGTATGCAAAAAAGGAAGCACCACATTAGAGAGAAACATTTTCTTTTCATGAGACTTAGTGATAACTCTAATTGACTCCCTTGCTCGAGTTCCCCACACATTAGAAGCTTTGTGTTTATTTTTCCTTACAATTCTTGGAGACAAAAAGTTATTTTGATTGGAACTTCCTGTCACGACATGGTTTCTTTATGTCTCAATTTAACAGAAGCTCTTAAAGTACTCTTAACTTCTGTGGATGGTCAGTATTTGTTATTATTTTAGTTCATTAAATTTTCATCCTTTAGGTTTTAGAGCAGATGTTAAAGATTGCATTGTTTAGCTTAAATTAAGAGGTGTGACAAACTACCATCTGCACTCTTAACTAATGCTTGTTGAGAAAGATGTGTTTCTCCATTCACTGTCACATTTTTTCAGTTTGAAGAGTCAGTGGGGGTGGGTAGATGTGACCTTTGAGTAACAAAAATTGAAAGCTGCCAGGCCAGTCAGTGTAGCCTGCCAAATAGGCTCAGAGGAGCTTGTTAGAAATGCCTCACCACATTTATTGGAAAATAATTTATTTTACTAAGTTTCCCAGGTGATTCACATTCAGGCTAGTGGACAAGACATAGCTTGTTGTGGCTGTCCTTGCTTGGGGTATATATGCAAATCACCTGGGGATGAGGGTATTCGCCAACAAACAAAAACAACTTCTTGGACTTCTCCAAAGTGAATCAGAATCTTCCTGGGGAGAACTCAAGTATAAAGTTTGGAAGAACTTACTAGACAGTGTTGATTGGTAAAAGTGGTTGAAAACTACTGCTGTCTAATTTTCATTAAATTTAACTTGTGTGCATAATTCTCAGATTTTTTTTTTTTTTTTTT